GACCTGTATACATAGTAGACGCATTATTCATCAATGCGACACCTAAATGCTAAGAGAAGATTAAATTCATTAATCATCAATTTACATGAAGGGGGCATGACCTGTATACATAGTAGACGCATTATTAATCAACTCCCAAACGTAGTTTAACTAACAGCAATCATACTTCCCTAAAAGCATTTATAACGAGCATATTTCTTTTCGTAGCAGTTAGTTTAAGAATCAAAACCATAATACATTGAACGATATGAATACTCAAACAGTTTTTAGAATAAATAAAGGAACATCCTACGAAGACATCACTGTTAACAAGGAAGAAATCCCAGTTCCTGCTGCGAATGAAATTTTAGTTAGAGTAAAAGCTGTGTCATTAAATTACAGAGACATTGCCATCTCAACTGGAGAATATCCTGTACAAGTCAAACCTGATGTTGTTCCTTGTTCCGATGCATCAGGAGAGGTTGTGTCTTTTGGACATAATGTAAGGGGTTTTGAAATTGGTGATAAAGTAGTTTCTATCTTTGATATTACTAATCTTTACGGTCCTCCGCAAAATTTGGAAGGAGGATTAGGTGGGGCCATTGATGGTGTCTTGAGAGAATATGTCGCTTTACCCTATGAGGCTGTTGTCAAGACTCCTTCCCATCTGAAACTTTCCTGGGAGCATTTGGCAAGTCTAGTGTGTACTGGAACAACTGCTTGGAATGCATTATATGGTAATAACAAGTTAGAGCCAGGTCAGATCGTTTTATTGCAAGGAACTGGAGGTGTTTCTATGACAGGATTATTATTAGCAAAGGCAGCTGGCGCAACCACTATTCTTACATCATCTTCAGATGAAAAACTTGAGCAAATTAAAGCAGAATATGGTGTGGATTACACAGTCAATTATAAAAGGTTTCCTAAATGGGGTGAAGCTGTTAACCAAATGATTGGTAATAACAGGGTTGATTATATTTTTGAAAACGGCGGTTCTGGTAACATAGAACAATCTGTTGAATGTATAGCATATGGAGGACAGATTGCGATTATCGGGTTTCTTAATGTGGCAAAACAAGCAGAAATGCCGGACGCTGTTGCTTTGGCTTTATCTAAAGGTTGCGTTATGAGAGGCATCCCTGTGGGTTCCAAGCAACTTTTAGGAGAGTTGATGAGGTTGGTTAGTTCTAAAGATATATTTGTACCAGTGGATAGCCGTTTCAAATTTTCTAAATCTGGGGTTATTGAAGCGTATAAGCATGTTGAAAGCGGAAACCACATTGGTAAAGTATGTGTAACACTCTACTAGTATTCTAAACTTTAAATTTTAAAAAATGTTTTTTTTT